AGGTCAACCTTACCTTTCAAGATTTTAGTTTAAAATAAAATACGCTCTCATTAGTCATTAGCATAATGTTTGAACAAGAACTCGAATACTTGTTTAAAACAATGAAGCATGCATAGTTTTGGGCCTTCGTGAGGCCTAGAAATGACGTTATCATTTTGGGTTCATGTTTTAAAGTTTTATGAAGATTTATATCAGGAAAAATAAAATTTGTGGAGAAAAATATACGAGCCCATCTTAGGCGTAAAGGGCCGGCATGCATTGCTTGCAAATAAAAACCCTAAACGGACTATCCCTAACATGCGGTTGAGATTTAATAAAGGATCATTTTGGTTTAAGTTCTTAATCAATCTAATTGTTAGACTGAAATTTTATTTGTTTAAATATTTTAATCGAGATCCTTAACATTATTTAAGAGATTTAATTCATACATTTATGTATTTGATGTCCCACAATAAACAATTCAAATAATATTTTTAAAATATAATAAATACTTAAAAATAAATATTAGAGTAATATTGTTCTTCACAAAATTATAGCAAGAAAATAATGTACCCATATAATTATTAACATATTTTAAAAAATAACCACTAATATATCTTGAAACATAAAATAAATACATATAATTAGCATGGGTACATTTAGCAAAATTAAAAATGGGTACAAATAAATAAAAAAATATGGGTACAACTACAAATAAAACTTTAAAAAATATGGGCACAAAAAGAAATTAATATATGGGTACAAATAAAAAATATGGGTACAAATACAAATAAAACTTTAAAAAATATGGGTACAAAAAGAAAATTGGTACTGTCACATCCCGTCCCGGGGTCCACAACATCCTGAGCCCGCTCCACCACCGTAGCACGATATTGTCCGCTTTGGGCCCTGACCACGCCCTCACGGTTTTGTTTCTGGGAACTCACACGAGAACTTCCTAGTGGGTCACCCATCGTGGGATTGCTCTCGTGCGCTACTCGCTTAACTTCGGAGTTCTCATCGAACCCGAAGCCAGTGAGCTCCCAAAAAGCCTCGTGCTAGGTAGGGATGAGAATATACATGTAAGGCTTACAAGATCCACTCCCCTGGGCGATGTGGGATGTTACAATTCACCCCTCTTAGGGGCCCGACGTACTCGTCGGCACACACGCGGCCAGGCTTAGGCTCTTATACCAAATTGTCACATCCCGGCTCGGGGTCCACCACATCCCGAGCCCACTCCACCACCGTAACACGATATTGTCCGCTTTGGGCCCCGACCACGCCCTCACGGTTTTGTTTCTGGGAACTCACACGAGAACTTCCCAGTGGATCACCCATCATAGGACCGCTCACCGCGCACTTGTGTACTTAAGCACTTTTAGGTTTTTATTTATTCATATTTTATACACTATCACACTTTATGGCTTCGTTACCTTTCATGTGTTGGCCAGCAGAGCTCGATTTGGAGTCATAGTGGACATTCCGAGTTGGGGTATGTCATATACAACTTAAAAAAGGGTTGCAAATTAAAATTTGGTACAAACTAAAAATAAAAATATATGATAAAAAATTTAGCTATAAATATAAATATACCAATTGTAACATTTTTAACACTAAATGAATATATTTAGAAATAAAAAATATTTTATTGTTGAAATAATTAATGTTGTTATTAATACTCAATAAATTTGATAAAAAATTAAAAAAAAAAAAATTTTAATCAATGAAATAAGAAAAGGAGAAAGAAAATCTAATTTCTCTTTTTAAAAAGCTCTGTACCTGCACCTGCTATATGGTTGTCTTGTCGACCGACTCGACAGACAATCTTGTAGTAAATATTTCATGGCTCCACAAATCAACACATGCATGCAAGCAGGCCACCCGACGAAAGCAAATTTCAGTTCACCACAGAACCAAAATCAACAACTCCAAAAGCTAAGATATGCATGGTTCAACAATAGTACCATTGCAGAAGCAGTTATGATACTATGGAGTCACTTAAAAGTGCTTTTGGCTTAGTTTTCAGTATGAGCTGCATCATGATGATCAATCAAGTCAGGCCTCTCAACATATACCCACACAATAATCATATCGTATCTTGGCCAATTTAGACAAACCATAAACTTCTTTGATCGCCTCTACTGGATATATATAGCATTCCCAGACTTAGATACATGTATATATATTGTATGGTATCGTGTATGCAGCATAACAATACACATTATTACAGTCATGCATACACAGTTGTATCAGTTGGTATATTGAACATGTGATCATCAAGCGAAACTTGCGGATGCTGAACCATGGCATGCTCATTGTAGATGTACCAAACAAATGTACTGTAGAGGCCTCTACGATACATATGTTTAGCAGTTTAGGTACGATGCACGTTAAACTCATGAGTAGAATTTACAATTAAAATTTAGTTTACGGAAAAATAGTGTGGCTCACGTCACAAAGAGGAAATGATGGGACATTATATGCTAAGCAGCTAACACATACTTCATTGAATCTTCTGATATGATTAGGAAACCAATGCTAAACTAAAATCACAGGAAAAATTCTTAGCGGATTATTTTTATGTAATTTGATCCCCTTAAAAGTTGTTTATTCTCATGCTTACGCTAGCTTAGCATAAGATGCCTAATCAGGAGCAACCTGCAGAGCTTAAAGCAAAAAAAGAAATCAAATTGACTACTTTAGGGTTTATGGAGATATATACATACATATATATATATATATATTCTACTCACTAAACATATTTAGTTAACCACCATGAAAATTCATAGAGCACTCATAAGAAACTGATGGAGATGCAACAATCTAAGGGTAAAAGAAAAAGGAATACCTAGGCATGCATATTGCTTTTTGATGGACGTAGACTTGAGATGAGGTGATAAAGATTCCAAATCTGCAAATGAAGATTAATTATGTATGTATTTGAATTCTGAATGCAAGGACAAGTGGCAGTATATGAGCACAGATTCCCTCGCCACTTTCCAAAAGTCTCTCTCAATCAATCATATACATATACATATATATCAACCGACCTCAAGAATATCAAGTGGAACAACAAAATATCTAGATCTTTGTGGCAATTTTGTGAGGTTAATTTTAATTTGAGGGACTTGATCAACTAATTATTCAAATCTCCCTATGCTTCCCAGATCGCTGCTAATTATGTTATCAAACTATGAATTTGAATTATTGATTATATAAATTTTTGTACGGTCTAAATTCACAGTAACACAAACATTTCTCTAGCAACCTATGTAAATATAACAAGCTTCTGTTTGATGAATATTTCATAGTTGTTGGTTGTTGCTTACATGGTCAAAATGCCAAAATGTACAATGTGCAGCAATACATCAATGATTCGTTGAGAGAGTTGAAATCTAAGATTCTTAATCCTAGCCTCAGCTTTGTAAGCCAAAATTAAACAATCACAGATTCTAAGTTTTAAGCAATGGACCTAAAATAAATGCCACTTGCATGCAAAAGGGGGCAATAACCAATTGGCAATTTATATCAAGAATATCCCAAACATTCCAAGCGGCCATAGATTTATTTGGTCCAAGAATATGAGTCCATATAAATCTTGTTTGGAATAATATATAGCAAGTGGAATGGGAAGAATCAAGATCATCACCAAAGATATGTTTACTAGAGAAAAGAAAAATAAGATAATAAGCACAAAAATACATCTTGAAAAAGAAAGGAAAAAGATTTTTGCACACATTTTTCTCCTTGTGCCTCATGTTTATTTTCGTTAGTTTTTTTCTTTACTTTATTTGATTCAAAGGCTAGATATAAACAAGGAATGCATGAGGATAAAAAAAGATGTGTGGATTCATTTTCGAAAAGGAAATATCATCATCTAAGATTCGAATGTGGTCCAAATGAACGCACATTGACCTAAAATATTGAGTTGCTGTCAGCATGCATTGGATCTTTATACGTACCAAGTATAGCAGCTGTTTACTACCATTTTGTACATGAATTTTCGAAGTTTTGGATTCTTAAACCCCAAAGGGGAAGATATGGACCCTGTATATTGACACAATCTCAAATATCCAGCCTTGCCCATTTTCAGAGATAGGATGATGATGGAGAACATAAGGTAAAAACACAGAAAGGCAGTTCGCCCTGGCTTACTGAAGCCTTAGATCACGCAGAAAAGACTCGTCACATAAGGAAAACAGTTGCTTAAAAGTGAAAATTAAGCCTAAACTACAACATAAAACATGATGTATATGACATTTTTTTCAATTTCCCAAATGTCAGTACGTCACAAGGTGTCCCTCCGAAGCTAGAAAAAGAGTAAAACACAAAAACGATGGACTTGAAATTCGATCAAACATTATTTCTGAAGTTATTAAGATCACCAGAAACAAATCTTTACTTTGTTGATCGACCCTGTCGGATCAATAAAACTAGCAATTCAACCAACATTTTACCTTTGTGATTCTGTAAAGTTGACATTTTTTTTTTCTGCACAAGCTTCCATGTTTAGGGACAGTACCTAACAGCATATTAGTCAGTAATTAACATTTAATTGTGGCAAACAAATTGATGTCCAAATCAACAGTGTAGCAATGAAAAGCACCTTGTCCCAAAAGGGTCATTCCTTGTATCCTAATTTGGAAGCAATGCTGGAATATATACATCGTACATATAGCTTTAATTTGGCACCACTAGTTAGTGATGCTTAAGCTACCAGCAACTTCATTAAGAAGAAGAACCCATTTCCCTGATAATGCTGAAGTACTATATGGAACAAACAAAAAAAATCCTCCTTAACATATACCGACTTTTGATTTGAGGCTAAAAAAAACCGATAAAAATTTATAAAAAAAATTGAAAAAGAAACATGTATTTGCACGGAAGAAAAACTTACATATCGCATGTTGTATACCCATATACATACATATATATATATGTATATATCTGTTTTGTGACGAAAATTTGATAAGAGAGAGAGACAAAGAGGAATATACAACAGATTAAATGGAAGTTTCTCCCGTTTATGCCAGCCAACCAAGTACTGATAAATTATGTGTTTTCAGTTGCTCCAAAATTACCAGTACCGCAAAACGTGTTTTCCGTTGCTGCAAATTTACCAGTACTGCATAATTGAGACGAGTAATTGCAACAAGAAAGGAGGTCCAACTTGGTGGTAATTGATCAAGGAATATAGTTGGGGTAAATGAAAATAAAAAAACTAAATAAATAAATAAAGGGCCATCCCTTTCATACTGGATTCTCTTCTACCATTTGCATGTTCATCTTGTGGCTCTTAAGGGAACGTATCACTTCAAATTTTGCCCTTTCTGAAGATATATTCGGCCAACTGGCTTAACCCCACCAGTCCTTTTTAGTGCTTATCCTCCTGCTTATAAGGAGCTCACTTGCTTATCTTTCTTCTCAAGCCACTCCTTGACCTCAGTCTTCCTTGACTGAGAAAAATACAGCCCTTCCTTTCCTTTCTTAAGAAGTGCTTTTAGGTTTTTTTTTTTTTTGGAGAAGTGCTTATGATGGCTTCCAACTCACTCAGCTCCTCGTGGACTCCTAAGCAAAACAAACAGTTTGAAAAGGCCCTGGCTTTGTACGACAAGGACACCCCCGACCGCTGGCAGAAGGTTGCCAGAGCGGTCGGTGGGAAGTCTGCTGAGGAGGTGAAGCGGCACTATGAGCTCCTCATTGAGGATGTCAAGCACATTGAGTCTGGCAGAGTTCCGTTTCCTGATTATAGAGGGGAATAATACTAAGTCTTTCTCTCTTTGGACTTTGAATGGCAAAGGTACTTCACTAGTTCCCTTTCTTTTGTTTATATTTTTGTTTAAAGCATTTTGCTTACTAGTAATCCTTAACCAAATCATCTTCATTGGTAATTTGGTATGCCGTACTGAAATGAATTTAGATGCTGTTATACTATTGCATGCGTTATTCAGCTAATTAAAACACGTCACTATGCTCTCTTTCTATCTGTCTCCTCATGCAGTATGTTATATAAGACACAAAGAGAGGATCACGTAAGGAGAGAGATAGGAAGAGCGGAACTGACACAGGGACGTGGAAGTTTCTCTCCCTATTCAGAGATGTTACACCATGATTCTTGAATCTAATGAGAGAATAGTGCTGGTAGTTTCCAGTTAGCATGAGCAAGATGGGCATCACCATTTTGAGATGGGTGGTTGTGTGTATCTACTACTGCCTCCATTTCATTTCATGGTCCCCCAAAAACTTTTTTTGTGGGGACAATAGAAAAGTCGAGGAAACCGAACTCAATATTTTACCAAACCTTTCGGTCTCGAGTTGTGCACTTGCCCTCACATCTTATTCACGTGCTAGGCTTAACAGCCACACATGCTCTCACATCTTAAGCTCAAGAGATCACACAACGAGCACGATGAGAGTACCCCACATTAGATGTGAAATTCTTGCATCAAGTGTTTCAACGATTTTGCGTTCTTCACAATGTTCGCAGACTGTTTAGTTTTTTCTGCATACTAATACTTTTTGTTTCTCTTCTCTTCCACCTGGCAGGCTCTTGAAGTTTATGATTTCTAGCGTTTCCATGAAGTTCATCAAGAAACAAAGTTGTGAAAATTAGCAGATGCATGCAGATATGTATATGTAATTAAAGAAAACCAGTTGGTTTTATGTAGCTAAATTAACCATTGTCGTGGCTTTCGATCAGTGTATGAAGTACCGTATATTTGGTTTATGAATATTACGTTTGCAAAAAAGCCTATTCCTTTTATTTTCTGGTAAATCTATAAATGGAAGGGACATATGGAATAATCTTATCTCTTTCCCAATCTCATCCCTCTCCCTTACTACTATTGTCCAGCTTGAATTCCCCATCCTTAGGAAAAAAACTTGTATGGGACTTTGTTTGTCATTGGACTTTGCTGAGTGACACTACAATTCACTTAAAGCTCTACACGTGGCAAGTCTTACATATAATCTTTTATCATTCTTTTATATGTAAAATTCTCATAATTATTTTTTCTACCAATTAATGTACACCATACGATCAATCTAATGATTCATTTTTTTTCCTTCTTTTTCCCTTTTTTTTTCTTCCCAATTTTTTTTTTAAGAAAGTTATGCTGCCCAAAAAAGTTCTGCACCCCAAATATAGCAGGATCAATCTAAAGAGTTTATGTTTTGCCGTGAGTCTTCACTTTCTTCTCTCTCTCCCACTTCTCTCCCTCCAGTTTAATCCTTGTTTGGCCTGCCTTTATCCACGTTCCAAAATCTGGTGTGAGCATCGGTTCCCTACTCTCATCCCTCTTTTGATTTATCTCATGTAAATTTTTGTTTCAAGTTGCACTAATTATGTGGAATTTGAATCTGACTGCAGTTCTCTGCAATTTTTTTTCCCTTGAGTTTTCACTTTTATAATGGAAAGCAAATAAAGTATTCAAGTTCTTTAAAATTGACTACATGAGTTGCTTGACATTAAGGTTAAGAGAAGTTAGTAATGAAGGAGTTACTATCTATAAGCAACCAAAGAAGGTCAAAAAAGAGGAAACACAGTTGAGTTTATCTCTCATACTTCAATCCATATCATTTCCTGCTATTGTAAAATGTTTGAAGCTAAGGGCATATTTTGTCATCATGCTTTGAAGGTATTTGATTTGAGTCTACAATTTGTATTTAGAGAGAGAAGAAACAGTGAGGGAAGAAGATGACGGGGAAATTTTGGGAAGAAAAATGACAGAGAGGAGAAGAAGAAAAAAAAAATGAACAATTAGATTGATCTTATGATGTATATTAATTAGTAAGAAAAATAATTATGAGAATTATTATAAAGAATGATAAAAGATTATATTTAATAGTTGGAGAAAAACTTGTGTGGGGCTTAGCTTGCCACTGGATTTCGTTAAGTGACACTACAATCCACTCAAAACTCGCCACGTGGCAAGTCTTAAATATATTCTTTTATCATTCTTTTATATAAAATATCATTCTTTTATATTTAAAAATTTTATAATAATTTTTTTAACTAATTAATATATTATATATATTAATGTTATGTTTCCTTTTTTATTTCTTTCCCCCTATAATTTTTCTTCCCAAATCCACCCCACACCACACCCCCCCTTCCCCCCCCGGCCAACTTTGTTTTGCCGTAGATCTTAGGTTTTAGTACTCTCTCCCCTTTCTTTCTTTCCCAGTTTCGTTTCTTTCTTTCTTTTAAAAAAAAAAAGTTCTACACCCACTCAATTTTATCATGGAAAGCAACTAAGAATCTGTAAGTTTCTTTTCTTTCTTTATACAATAGTTACTTTGATCATGTGACATGAATAACCCACATATATAGATGTATTAGGGTTATTTTCTTTTCTTTTAATTGGGGGTTTTTGGGTTCGGGTGAGGTTTTTTGGATTTTTTATATTTATAATATGAATTAGGGTATCTGCTATGTTTGTTACCTTCTTTATTATGAGTCTTTAATTAATATATTAGTCTAATCTTTGATTTTTTTTTTTCAATTGATAGGTTGCTGCTGAGGCAATGGAGTTTCAAGAAGATCTGAAAATCAGAATGGTGGTGCATTCAGACGCTAAAGCTTACAAATTATTGGTTGCTTTCCATGATAAACTTGGAGTGGGTGCATAACTTTTTTTTTTTTTTTTAAAGAAAGAAAGAAATGAAACTGGGAAAGAAAGAAAGGGGAGGGAGTCCTAAGACCTACGGCAAAACAAAGTCGGGGGGGGGGGATTTGGGAAGAAAAAAAATAGGGGGAAAGAAATAAAAAGGAAACATAACATTAATATATATAATATATTAATTAGTTAAAAACATAATTATAAAAATTTTAAATATAAAAGAATGATGAAAGAATATATTTAAGACTTGCTACGTGGCGAGTTTTAAGTAGATTGTAGTGCCATTCAACGAAGTCTAGTGGCAAGCCAAGTCCCATACAAGTTTTTCTCTAATAGTTGCTATGTGGCGAGTTTTAATTGGATTGTAGTGCCACTCAGCAAAGTACAATGGTAAACCAAGCCCCACACAAGTTTTTCTCCATCATTAGACCATCTCCAACCATTGGGTTAAAACCTAAAATTTTTAACCCAGAGACAATTTTTCTGCTAACCTTTATGGGTTAAATTTTTAGCCCGAAATTAGTAAATAATGAATTTAGGATAATTTTTTTTCTTAAATAACTTAAAAAAAAAATATGTAGACTATCCTAATATAGTTTTATGAATATTTTTTCAACCTAAAAATATTTAGATTTCGATAAATATTGAAAAATTACTAAACTGACACCATGAAATTCGTGGAACACTATGAAAGAATATGAAACACAAGAATTTGTTTTAATTACCTTAGCCGTTGGATTTAAATTTGAACCGTTAGATTTTTTTTTTACTGTTAGATTTGATTATATTAGATCTTAACCCGTTAGATTTAATGAATTTATAAATATAAAACTAAAAAAAATTACCCATATATGGTGGGTCAACCCACGAACCTCAGGGATTCTGGCCTAAATTTGCCTCATGAATGAGTTTCAGATTAAAACTCATATTTATCTCAAAAGTTGGAGCAAATTTGGCGATATTTAGAACCTAAAATTTGAGTTTTACTCTAAAAGTTGAAGTAGCTCTTAGGAGGAGAGAATCTACGCGGTTGTATGTCCCTTTGCTTCTACAGTTGCAGTTGCAGTTGCAGTAAATATTTGTAGACACGTAAAGATTATACACTAAACTACAAGATAGATTATCGTGGTTTTTAATATGAAAATGAGATATGCACTACAAACAGTGTTTATACCGCATGGTACAAAAACTTGAGCTATACGGCAATCGAACCATGCAAACTGATGTGACTTTGAAGAGGAACAAAGATACGAATATTGGCTTAATTACATCAGCGTTAACAAAATCATGATAATTAAAAATAGTGATCCCTATTTAATTTGGTGGAATAAAAAAAGTTGACCTGATCGATTCTGGACTAAAGTATCCAACCAAAGAAAGATGGCCGTGACGGGCACGCAGTTGAATCCATGGCCATTGATGCATATTGGGCTTCATTGTTACGGTTGACAATCTACAACATTTCAACATGTGACTGATTACATTGGTATATTTTTACAATATAATCCCTGTTACCGACGTACGTTTATATGTGATTGAAAATCTACTGTGTGTCTATAGAGTGAGTATTCAGTATAATTGTTGCACCATAATTGAAAATATACTACATGTTTATGAAGTGAGTATTTAGTATGATTGTTGCACCATGATAGCAGACACATAAAGTGACAGCTTCTTGTCAATAACCGTAACATTTATCTTTTTTGGAACAATGAAAGAGATGGATCATGATCATGAGATACATGATAAACGTTCCCAACCACTCAATCACACGTTTCAGACACACAAAATTTTCTATCTTACATTCCTGTCATGTTAATGAGTTGTATTTAACAAACACTGATTTAACCAAATTGGCTACAATAGTGTGGTCCATCCTTTGTACTAAATTTCAAATTCTCTTCTTTGGAGTTTAGAGTTTAGATAAATTTAATGTAGTTATCTTATATATTTTTTTATTTAAATTTTACCCACAGTGCCTTAATTGAGAAAAATTGGGCCTAGAAGTCTCTAACATTGTTTCCCACGTCATATTTTCCCAAATTGGGCCCTCTTTTGCAGATCGCTTGATTGGTCAGGGCTTAAGCTCCTGGAAGCGACGAGCTTCCCTTCCCTTCCAATCTTCCCGTTTAAACCCTAGATTGCTCAGGGTTTAAGCTCCCACAGAAAATCTGAGAATTTTCAGTTTATAAGCGCCCATGAATTCTCGACCTTGAAGAAAAACCGATCAAATCTCCAACCTTTAGCCATGGTTGCTGCCTCGAAGCTATCTTCATGCATAGCAATGGCAGTCGCGGCTGTCTCCATGCCCGCGCTCTCCAGCCGCGCCTACGCCGACTCTCCCTTCCGATTTAATCCGTTCTCGTACTCTTCTCCTTCTCCTCCTCCGCCTTCTGCCGCTCCTGCGGACCAGAGCCCCAATGCGAAATCGGAACCGCAAGCTGAAGAGCCCAGAGGGTCGGGGTTCGATCCCGAGGCTCTCGAACGAGGTGCCAAAGCTCTCCGCGAAATCAATTCGTCTAAATTATCCAAGCAGGTCGTTTTTGTGTTCTTAATTTGTTATTTCTTTCTTTGTTAGTGGTTTTTTTTCCGTAGAAAAAATTGGAAAATTGTAGAAAACTTCAAATTTTTGTTTCTTTTTAGTCTTAGAGATTGATTGCATCTTTAAGGTTGGAAATGAGGCACGAGAATCGGAGTTCTTTAGTCCCGATTATTCCTTTAATTTTGTTCCGATACTTTCATTTCGAATGTTTTGAGGATGCGTTTGAATAGAAATTTAAAAGGACTGAATTTTATTTCTATGTGCTTCGATATTACTATGCCTGCGGTTTTGCTGCCTGCCCCGGTTTAAACTTAAGTACCGACCTTTGTTATTGTGGGAACCGAAGTGGCTTGAAGCATATTAATTGAAATGTGTTTTCTTCTTTTATTATGCTGAGGTTTCAATGCAACTGAATTAAAGGTGTTAATTTGGTCAACTGGTATTGTTTTCCAGGTTTTTAGTCTGATGAGGAGCCAGGAAAAAAGTCGCCTCACTGAGTTGGAAGCGGAGAAGGCTCATTTTGAAGCAATACAGGCTCAAAATGATCTTGTAAGTTACAAATTTACAATCCATGTTAAAACAGCAGTCATTTGTAAAATGTGGTTTTCTACAGTCCACTCGTCAAACAAATGAAGCGACTCATCTCAATCGTTTGGCACCTACAATTTTCTTTTCCAAACTGCCTTATCACAATTTTTTTTTCTTTCTAATAAAGTTTATTTGGTATTCTCACTGTGCAGAGTTTCACGGAAAATGCTTTGCATACATGAGGCATTTTCTTCGAATGTGCTTTAATGACGTTTAATTTTGTTTCCTGGTCATTTACTTTTTTATGGCATGGGTTAGGTTCTTTTTTTTGTCAGTAGCGAAACAGATAATGGTCTAGGTTTGTGGCATCTAGGTTTAGCAAATTGCAGATTTGTTTTGTTCTCTTTTATCTGCCTTAATACATTTTAACTTATACTGTGTAAATCTTTTGATGACAGGAAAGGAGTAAGAACATGGCTGAGGAACAACTAAATATACTGCAACAAGAAGCACAGGCAAAGGCTCAAATGCTTCGTATGGAAGATGAACATGCGAGGAATAGAATGAAGGTGCAAGCAGTAGAATAAATTATGTGTTCTTTTTCTAAAAAAGTTATGGGCCTGTTTGATTTTCTTCTTGGATCCAATTTCTTGTCTTGAAAAACAAAAAGTTGGATCCAAGAAGGATACCAAACAACCTCTATGTTAAATAGGACTTAGAGTTTGTATGTGCCTCAAGTTTTAATGCACTCTAAATCCTGGATTAGTGAAACCTTGGTCAAGTCTAACATTTTATTGTTTATTTGACTGCAGATGGATCATGAAAAGCAGAGGCAGAATAATGCTGAAATGCTTAGGATGCAAGAGGAGTCAAATATCCGAAAAGAGAGAGCAAGACTTGCTACTGAGGCACAGAAGCAAGAGCAGCAGCGCCAAACTGAAAGAGAGAAACATGAATTAGAACTAAAAAACATAGAAGCAGAAGCCATTGCAAACGCTAAAGGTCGGGCCCATGAAGCAAAACTGAATGCAGAACTTAACAGGAATATGCTTCTAGATCAGATGAATGGTGAAAAAGAAAAATGGCTTGCTGCAATCAATACAACTTTTAGTCACATTGAAGGTATCCAGAACTGAGTAGATGCTTTTAAGTTATAAGAAGAAATATTGATACTCATAGTACATACATGAATAAGCAACTATTGTATAAGACAGATGCTCCTGGGTTCTTTCTGTCCAATCAGATTCCTTTTATTATTTCTTTATGTTTTTTGGCATAACTGTCCGTGAATGGTGCGATTGTCACTGGCCAAAGTTGTTCCCAATATCCCCTTTGCTGGGTTACTGCCCCTGGTTATGTAGGGTTAGGGTTACTGGATTTTAAAATGTGGGTGGTTAAGGGGTGAGTAAAATCTTGTCTCTTTTAATTTCTCTGGTGGATGGCAATAGTGCCAATTTTAGCTTGAGGTCAATGGAACAGAATATTTGTTTGATCTCTTTATTTTTATTTTTGTGAAATGCTGATGATATAACTGTTTCTCATCTGCTATCTGCAGGGGGCATTAGAACTTTGCTGACTGATAGGAATAAGTTGGTTATGACCGTTGGGGGTGCTACAGCAGTGGCTGCAGGTGTTTATACAACTAGGTTTGTATGCTCTTCTTTTCGTTGCAATTTCACCTATTTCGAGTTTCTTAAACAAGGATGCTTCAGGTTACAATTCCTTATGTACACGATCTTATTTTGTTGCCCTATTATTCTTCTTGGCATATTTCAACTTTATTAGGATGCAAATGGGTTTAATATTGAAGGGAGGACAGAGTGTATAAGTCAGTACGCTACTTCCATAACCTCCCCCACTTAAACTGAAAATGTAAAAAAGTGGATAGCATGGAAAGTGCTACCCTTTTTATTTGGTGTATTGAAGACCTAGTGTATAAGTCAGTACGCTACTTCCATAACCTCCCCTCTTGTTGTACACTACCAAACTAAACAGTTGGCACCTTCCGAACATGCTACTGTATTTCTACTTATGTGATATTCATTACATAGGTTGATAGATAATAAGTTTTAGTCTCTCTTTATTATGATGTCAAGTTGGTCATAATGCCTTTTACTTTATTGATCTGATGAGCTTTTAGTGGAATTGTGATATTAAGTTCTTTCATCCATTTTAGTGATGATTGTATTGCTTAATGATGTGCCAACTAATTGCTTTTTAACTTAATTTTTTACAGAGAAGGTTCTAGAGTTATATGGGGATATGTCAACCGCCTGCTAGGGCAGCCATCTCTGATTCGAGAATCATCCATTGCAAGATTTCCAGGTTCAGAGATGCTTTCTCTAGCAAAGAATAAAGTTTTAAATTACAGTACTGGATCTTCGCAAGGTAAGAATGGTCTTGCAAATATCATTCTCCATCCTTCGTTGCAGAGCAGAATAGAGCACCTTGCTCGAGCTACAGCAAACACTAAGGCTCACCAGGCCCCCTTTCGCAACATGATGTTTTATGGCCCCCCTGGCACTGGTAAAACCATGGTTGCAAGAGAAATAGCTCGAAAATCGGTATTACACTGATCCATAGACTTCTCTTTACCATCGTGCTCATTTCTGTCTTACTCAAACCTTTTATATGGTCTACTACCTAGCGGGGACTCCACCTGTGTCTTAGTGACAACTTATCGGGACCATTAGTTTTTTGGTGGGGAGATCTTTGTAGGTCAAATGAATGGAACTTGTTGAACAATTAGGAGGTTCAGTTTATTATCTGTTAAAATGGGATGTTTATTCTCATCAATTTTTGTTTTTGTTTTAGAAGTTGAATTTCTTGATACTAGGATCTAGGATCCAAGTTCTTGCCAATTACTAGCACTCCAAAAATCTCATTCTACACTCCTCATAAGTATATTTTTTCTTCCAAATATAGAAAGTTTGGAGTGTAGAATGAGATTTTTGGAGTGCCAATAACAATTCCCCATATATATATATATATATATATATATATATATAGGAGTTATTCTGAAAAAATTGGAAGTTCTCAAGATGACAGTTTTTGATCCTTTTGAATGCAGGGTTTGGATTATGCTATGATGACTGGAGGAGATGTTGCACCCTTGGGTGCACAGGCTGTTACTAAGATTCATCAGATATTTGATTGGGCTAAAAATTCAAAAAAAGGTCTACTGCTTTTTATTGACGAGGCAGATGCTTTCCTATGCGAGTAAGTTCAGTTTTTCCTTCGTTGGTTAATGGTTATATTTATGTTCTACATTTTATTGTTACAGAGACTGTTCTCGTCTAAAACTTTTCTTTGACAAAACTTGGGAGTTAACTTCCATTAGTTTATATTTTTGGAGGTTACTGTCATCTTCACTCATATGTGTGTGTGTATACGTATACATATATATTATATACAAGCTCAGCCTCTTGTGAATTGTTTGATCCCATGCCAGGAGAAACAGTACACACATGAGCGAAGCTCAACGTAGTGCTCTAAATGCATTGCTCTTCCGAACTGGAGACCAATCAAGAGACATCGTTCTAGTACTTGCCACAAACAGGCCAGGAGATCTTGACAGCGCTATCACTGACAGGATGGATGAAGTGATTGAGTTCCCACTTCCTGGAGAGGAGGAACGATTCAAACTTTTGAAGCTATACTTGAACAAATATCTTGCTGATGAAGGCAAAAGCTCCAAGTCAGGCATTTTCCTCAAGAAGAAACCTCAAAAGATTGTGATAAAGGATGTGTCTGATGATCTGATCCGAGAGGCTGCACGTAAGACAGAAGGGTTCTCTGGCCGTGAGATAGCTAAACTCATGGCCAGTGTCCAAGCAGCCGTGTATGGACGCGAAGACTGTGTACTGGATTCGCAATTGTTTGAGGAAATTGTAGATTATAAAGTTACAGAGCACCACCAAAGAATGAAACTAGCAGCTGAAGGTGGTCATCCGGCTTAGCTATGGAATTTTATTCCCCGGCTCAGTTGATAGAGAAGTAGGAATCCGGCATCTATCAAAACCCCAGATGGTAGAAATTCGTAGTGTGAATTTATATTTCGCATTCGATGTATTGAAATAAGTTATTCATTCAGTCTTTTGTTAAATTAGTTGATGAAGCATGTTTCCTAACAGAGTTAGTGCTCGTTTAAAAGTGTTTTTAAAATTACTGAAAGCGGTTGAAAATATTTTTGAAACTAATTCTTACTAAAAATCCATGTGCATTCACCAAAAGTGCATTCAGTCATTTTAAAAAACACTTGTAAATGAGCCCTTAATTTCCGTAGTTTCCATAGTTCACTTTCTCATTTTTGTTCTAATCGATATGATTCATCCTTCAATAAGAAAAAAAAATAAGAAGAATGAGTATAATGTCATACTATGTCTCTTCTTTCTCAATTTCTTATGATATGCCTGGTCTTAATGATGCGAGAATTATACGCACACAAGTTAACCCTCTTTTTGACAATTGTAGTATAGATATAAGTAGGGATCGTTCTTAACCGGGGATTAGGAGGGATTGCTAAACACTTGGAAACTGACTTAAAAACTCAAAAACAAAGTTTAAAACACTAAACTTGACTCAAAGAATGCAAAACAAAAAGTTAAAACACTTAAACAAACCTAAAACCCAAAACAGCAACTAGAAGACTCAAAACTGCCTAAAAACCACTTTCTGGGCAGTTTTGAGCACCTACACTAATTTGGACGAAATTGGATGAAAACTTGAATCAAAATACTTAGAAACACAAATCAAAACACTTTCTAACTAATTTGGACAATACAAAGACTCAAAGGACTCAAAACAAGTTCAAAAGACTCAAAACTGCCTAAAAACACTAACTAGGCAGTTTCTGACCTTAAACACAAATTTGGACGAATTTGAGATTATAGGTGGATTCAAAACACTTTAAAACACAAATTAAACAGATTCTAAACACTATAGAACAAGAAAGTAAAGGGGGGTTTTGTTTTGACGAAAATTGAAATAACAAAACAAAGTAACAAACTAGACAGAATGTCAATATGAAATTGATGAAATGGAATGAATGGATGCTAGCCAAGGGATTCATCTCCACACATGTTACACTTGCATAAATAAAAGATTTCCAATTGCATTTCAATAAATTATGAAACTCATCACCCCGGGTTAATTAGGTCCGCTTAAATTAACCTTCAAATCTTCCTAACGTTATTGAATTGGATGATTGCATACGACAACCCAAAACATTTCCCACAAGTCCCCTACATGATTGCATAATAGAGATACAAGCAAGAATCATTACGCTCTATGAAAATTATAAATGTTGACGAGGCATTCGTTACTATGATTGCATGAAACTTATGCCAAGAATTCGTTTAACGCGATTGTTTATAAGCAACCTCCACTACTTGTGAATATAAGTTCGTAACTATTAGGTGAAACTCACTTATATTCTAGCGTCATATTCATGCATGAAAATTAAGCGTGCACTCTCAATAAACATACATAAATAAGTTATCAATCAAACAGTTAAACAAATTGAATCCACGACTTATGAAATGCAATTAGAAGTAATCAAATCAAAACGCAAGCATAAACATATATTTTGAATCCCCCCCTAGCCAAGGGGGGGTTTAGTTCCTCATGATACAAAACAAAGAGAATCAAAGAAACACCTAAACATTCCAACAACTCAAACTTGAATTGTATGAACGTTTAGGCCCTCTTCTCTTCCATTCCTCATTCGTACAAAACAAAGAGTATTGAAATTAAACATTGAAATCAAAGAAACACCTAAACATTCCAACAACTCAAACTTGAATTGTATGAACGTTTAGGCCCTCTTATCTTCCTCTTCGTTGTAGCACAAGGTCTAATGGATAGTTTGATGGTGTGAATGGTTTGGGGAGTGGTGAAAATGGAAGGAGGAGGCCACGGCAATGGGATGATTTCTGGTGTGGTGTTTGGATTATTAGGGAGAGAGCATGGCACAAGGGAATGGTTGGTGTTTGTGACTGAAATGTGTATGGAAGAATGAGATGTGGAGTGAATGCTTATTTATAGGCGAAATGGGGGGGGGGAACATGACAGCTAGGAGGGAATGTGGCTGCATGTTTGAATGATTAAATGATGCATGTGGGTTGGAAATGCATGTGCAAGCATGTGTTGGCTGATTTAAAGAATGTGAATGCAATCTGAAATGCATGTGAATAAAGGGAGTGCATGTTTGAATGATTAAAGGGACATGTGAGGGTGCAATGATGAAGGAATAATCTGAAATGGGAGAGCATGTGGGTGGAAATGCATGTGGGTTAAAGTGGAATGATGATGGGAGATGCATGTGGCTGATTTATGCATGTGATTAAAGGGAGTGCATGTTTGAATGATTAAAGGGACATGTGAGGGTGCAATGATGAAGGAATAATCTGAAAATACAAGGTGAAATGAAGTGGAATGACAATGGCATGTGGAATGGTTATAGGAAAGGTTTAAATGTCCTAGAACTAAAGGGAACAAGGTTCCAACACTTTGGTCTTCAATTAGGTCTTCAGTTTCGTCCAACACTTTGGCTCCAAGCATAAGCTATCCATCCTTAGCCCAAAAGTGCTCCAAAAGTCTCCAAAATGCATCTTTTTGCTCCTTTAGCCCTTTGGACCTACAAACACACGAAAATAGCTTAAAGTACTAAAATAACTAAAGAAACATAACGTAAATGCACGAGAACAAGCCATTTAAGTCGCATGAATATGCTCCTATCAAATACCCCCACACTTATCTTTTGCTAGTCCTCGAGCAAAACAAAACAAAAACAAATAAACAAAACGACACTAAACACGTAAAACACAACCTAAACCTTCCAACAACCGTCTTAGGGATTTCCAATGCACATGACATGTTAAAAATCATCATTCTCACAGATTTTAGTCATCTTCACACTTAAGTACATTCTTAATCATAGTCACCACATACTATTTCACAATTAAGCATTTAAAACCATGTTTTGAATGTAGTAACATGCCTTAGAGAATTTGCTCAATTCCTTACAAGATATGCACTCGATTTTCACTCAGATTTTCTAAGTACACACCCTAATCTAGTCATATGTGAGAAGATTAATGAAAACGAACACTCACATATATATATCACAAAGAGAACAATTTCCGGAGTTAATAAGCATGTTTAGATATGATCTCATGAATGGAATGCTACTACTTAGATGCGAGAATCAGTGACACCATATGCTCATACCAAATTCAAACTCCACAAATTGAAACACATAACACTCAAGATAGAAGTTAAGGGTTGTAATGGGGCTTGGGGTGTTGGTTAACATGGAAAGGATAGGGAAAACAAACGTTCTTCAAGCAATAGTAAGCAAAGCAATGAAATTGAGACATAGAATTCACTTAGATTGCAGAAATTAACTTTAAAACACAAGGGAAAGATTTAGACAACTCCTTAGGGCCGAATTCATTGTTTTGGACCCTTACTTCAACAAACAATACTTTGGAACTCTTTTTCTCAACTTTTCAACTTTTTCTTCATTCATTTTTTTTTTCTTTTTCCATGAATTTTTTTTTTTTTTTTTTTTTTTTTCGTGCCTATAGCACATAATTCCTCATGAAAAACACTTCCCCCACACTTGTTTTCTGCCAACATAAATCAAAAGGACTTCAATTTGAATCATGCTTTGCTATGCTTCAAGAACAAGGGTATGGATAGTCCTAATCTAGGCTAGGTGAGGAAAACATGAGTTAACAAATAATGACGGCTAACAAGGCTCAATGGGGTTAAAAACCTACAAAACATAATGACACAGGGCACACGGCTTTTTGGCTAAGGTGGTGGTCACTACACAACTTCATCTTGAATGTGTGTTATGCAAATCAATAACATGCTTTGAATGAAATGGATATAAGTTCTAGCATTTAGTTCTATCATGATACAATTGCATTCTAAGTAGCAACCAAGCAAGGAATAATGAGATCATGCAACAACTTTAGAAAACAAAGAATCACAGAAAATAACTCTCCAAAGAACATTTAGGCTCAAGTCTCACAAGGTTGTAGCGTTTGTTTGAGTTCCTTCCTTCAAGCATGTTACAAAAACAATTTTTTTTTCTTTTATGATTGCATGTGAAGTCATACATTATAACCATAACCAAGCATATACCAAGAGTAAATCAAACTTTTCTCTATGTTCATAACTCTTTTTAACAGTCATGCAATTACAAACCAAATCCTTATCATTGTGTTGGAAGGTACCCTAAGACACAAACACACAAAAACGACTCAAAACACTCTTTTTAGGCTTTTCAAAACATGTTTTTCAAATTTTTATGTGATTTTCGGAGTTATAAAAACAAAACATATTAAAACACTCTAAAACATCTTAAAAACACCTTAAAACAGCAAGGAACAACATTTGAAGTTATGGGTGATAAAATCCCACGAATTTGCATCAAATATACTTAGTTACCCCCCCCCCACACTTAAATCAAACATTGTCCTCAATGTTTTAAGCATACATTCACACAAAACATAAGTAAACGCACAAAAAGCAACTAAACATACTAAACATGGCAGAATGTAGTTAACAAAGAGAAGAGTTTAGAGACGCAAATCTGGTTATAGAGTGTAAATTCCATCTTCTCCTTGGTAATTGCATTGAGGCTTGGATTTTTGTGATTCCACAGGCTTACTCTTGAACTGCGCTGCTCCCATCGTTGATTTTCCTTTGTGCTACTCTTGAACTGGGCAGCAGGCTTCCTTTGGTCTCCCCCGAAGGTCTGAGCTTCCTCCTTTTATCTGTTTCTTTGTTCAATCTCTCCAATACGTATTGAAGAGGGTTAGAGGATAGCTCAACATATGCAGTTGTTGCTTGTCTCCACATGCTTCAATGTGTCATTTTCCCTTGCCTTACTTGCTCCCCTTTGCAGAAGTGGTCCCTTCTCTGGAAGTGTATCAACCGTTGAAGATGACTACTCGAGAGCAACGCTAGGTAAGCAATCAGGAAAGGGATTCCCGGCCGTCGGAAGACTGACTCCAAGTGCCGGCTGATTGCTTCTTTTACTTTGCTATGCGAGTAATAACAAAGACAAAGGAAAAGACAGGGAAAGAGCATGATATGAGATACTTTTGCTTTTGACCT